GCTGTGAAGGTCTCCCTGATCTGGTTGCTATCAGGGTCTCCAGCCTCACTTCCCTCCACACTCTTCCTCACTCTGTGCACCAGCCACATTGGTTTTCTTTTGGCCTTTTACATTTATTCCAATTCTTCCTGCTTCAGGACCTTTGCACATACCACCCCGGCTTTCCCTTGCCTGATTACCAACCTGCACGTTAGTGGCCTACACAGCTTTCTGATGGTGGCTCAATCTCATCTTTACAGAGAAATTGAAGACCCCTCAGCGCACTTTCCACAGTAACAAGGTCACATTTATGTTCTTCTGATTACTGTGTGTCTCCTCCAAACCCTCCAGGTCTATGAGGTCTGAGACTCACCCAATGGCCAGCACGGTGCTAGGCACAGAGCAGTCACTTAGTAAATATTTCTTGAATGACTACCTGAAAGAAGGAAGGTACTGTGTTGGAGTCTGGGGATACAAAGATGAATGAGCATGGAACTTCCCAGAAAGCAGCTCACAAATTGGGGTGGGAGGGTAGAAGCAGATGAGAGGATGACTATACAGACTCAGGGTGTAACGGGGTGACGCGCACAGCAGAGGAGCAGCCCAGAGGAGACGGTGCCGCCGGGGCCCGGCTCACCACCCCTGGATGAAGCTCCATCCGGGTGTCTGTTGGCTGATCTCGGCCCTCAAGGATCCCGGTCCTGTGATGTTATTGCTACGCAGCCACCACCGTACCCCAGCCATGGCCGTGCCACCCCACGCTGCCATGGATCCTCCAGGGTGCTGTCCTCAGGCCCCGGGCCCACTTGAGGCCTGTTGAGGGTGCAGCGTTGCTAAAGGCTCTGGTTACAATGAAAGCATCATGTGGGGCACTTCAGTCCGGAGAGTTCCATGCCTTCTGGACAGTGATCTCATCCTAACCTCAGACCGACCTGGGGAGGCAGCAAAGGGGAATGATTTCTCTCCCCACTCTACAGGTGGGGAGGCTGAGGTCAATGGAGATCACTGGAATTGGCCGAGGAGTGAAGACAGTTTGGGAACAGGCCTTGGAGGGAAGCCCTCTCTCCAGGGTCCACCAGCCACACCAGTTGGCAGAGGAGAACTCCTCAGGCCACGGGCTTGTTTACTTGGGTGCAGAAGGACGTTTCGTCACCTCTTGGAACCACAGAATGCTAAGGCAGATGGGCCCTCCGAGATCATCTGATTCACCACCCCCGTTTTAGGGAGGAAGAAACTGAGGCCAGAGCACTGAATCTCCTTCACCACCCCCTCTGCTACCTGTCTACCCAGATCCCCTCTCCCCTTTGTTGCCTGTATGGCTAGACTGTGTCTCCCAGACTCCTTTGCAGTTTGGTGAGCCGGGTGCCCGTGTCCTCCCCAGTGGGATGTAAGAGGAAGGGAAGCAGCCACTTTCAGGCCTGGCCCTTTCAACGCCCCCATGCTCACATCTGCGTGTTCTTTTCCCTTCTGGTCACCAAGGACGTCAGTTCCAAGGACAACTCGGAAGCCACACATTAGAAAAAGGCGGAGCTGCCGGAGCGGGGGGTCCCAGGAATTCTGTGTGGAGCAGAGCCAGGCACCGACGTGAGGGCCCCCGGCTGCCAAGAGAACAAGAAGAATGAAACCTCTCTCGCGTGAAGCTGCAGCTTTTGAGGGGCCTGTTTCGTACTGCAGTCCGGCCCCGACCTAATCTGGCTCACGGGAGCGGAGACGGGGAGCCCCTGCAGAAGCTCTGACCACACGCAGAGCTGAGCATGGGGGGGGGTGGAGCCCCCCCCCCCCGGCCTCCCGCGGACTTCGCTGGCGCCAGGAGCATCCCCACTCCCACGCCTGGAGAGGCTAAGAGGGCCCGACTCCTGCCTCGTGCAGGGGGACTTGGCCCCAGTGGCCTTCCCACCTGTTTCACTAAGGGCCAGTAGATGCCCAGGGCTGGGACGGAGCTGAGATGCCATCTGATTTGTCCCCCTGGCTCCGGACAGGGCCTCTTCGAAGCCTTCCGAGGTAACCAAACATCATGTTTTGATTCTTATGTCCCTGAGATGGAAACACCACAGACGTCCTCAAACACCTGTCCCACGCCGCCTTGCTGCTGTGTCGGGTCTTTACTGAACCCTAACACCCCAGAGCTGGGGCACCCCTAGCACTCATCTCAGACAACCTTTGTTTTACAGATGAGGAGACTGAGGCTGGGAGCACACAGGTAAACGGCGGCCCAGTCAGGACGGGAAGCCCGGGCTCCAAGGCCAAGCTGACCACCTTCCGAAGGTTCCACCTGCCTCTCCAACTCCCTCTTGCTGTTTTCTCCTGTCCTCGAAGGCGATGAAAAAGTGCCCCGGGGCCATTTCACAGTGATCCATCCTTCCTGTTCTCCTGCGTCCACCCTCCCCATCCCCACGCTAAGCCCTGCGCAGGTGATGTGAGCGTGGCTACTGCTCTTAGAAGGCAAAGAGAAGCCTAGAGACAGGTAAGAGGGAGGACCTGTCCCAGGGGCACATTTGCCGCCCGGGCTTGGTAAGGAACACGGATTCCCTAGTGGGATCTCTGAATCCACGCGAGAGGCCTGCAAGGCCCGTGACAGCCTTAAATGTTACTGGTTGCCCTGGGAGGGCAGCTGTGCTGTGGGAAGAGTTGTCGGGGGGATGGGGGTGGGGTGGGGTGGTGGCCACCAGAAGGTCTGAGCACAGCGCCTTGGCCTGGTGGGGCTGGGCTGGCTGAGCCTGGGCCACTGGGCAGCTCCACCTGGGAAGAGCCTCTGAGAGCAGGATCCTGAGAAGTTGAGCTGGAGCCATGAGGGCAAACCAAGTTCCTCGCGGTGGGATCAGTATATGGTACTTTCTTGGGCAGACCTGGACATTGCACGCGAGAGCCCCGGCACGTTGGGTTTGTTTTGTGGTCCTTTACAAACAAAACCAAAAAACCCAAATCCTTGGTCCCCACCGCCCCGCTGAAGGTGAGGTCGTTTCTACACAGCACCCTTTATGTTTTCTGCCAAGTGACTCACTTGGACTGAATCCCTAGAAAGTGGGCCTAGGTCCATCTGCAGCTGCCCTGGACACGGTGATCCGCTCACTGCCCTGGAGGCAGGGGTCACGGAGCCCTGGAGACAGCAGAGAGGAATGGAGAAATGGGGTGTGGCGGAGTCAGCCCTGAGAAGGAAGTGGGCGCTCGGAGCATCGGGTGGTCAGACGGGAGCCCCATAAAAGTGACAAGGTTCCCGAGGAGCTCCCGTATTCATTTCAGTTGAGACCTCGTGGAGGTTATTTCCAACTCTGAAGTGGGGGGACCAGGATTAATAATGCCGCCCAGTCCTTCACGGTCAATCTCATCCTCTTTGGGTCCAGCTTCAGAACTCTGAGCAAATTATTTTCCCATTTTGAGCCCCTCTTTCTTGGACCTAGACCTAATTTTAAGGACTTGCAGTCCCTAAAATTAAGACTTTTTATCCTTTACTTACTGGGGAGGGAAGGGATATGGACCCAAACAGAACTTTGACTTGCCAGGACATTTTGTTTTCACAAAATCTTCGAATCTGTCCCCCGGAAAGTTTTCCTTTAAAATTTAGTGGTCTCTGTGCGTTCTTTTGTTTAGTTTTCCATCTGCAGCCCTTTCTCTGATTAGGAGTCTGTGCCGCCAGGCCCGAATTCACCGTTTTCTTTCCCCTGTGGGCCTGTTTGGGGGTCCTGGGCAGGGGTGGGTGTGGGGGGTACATTTACGCACGGCTCTTGGTAGGAGCCAAAGGCGATGGTTTGATGGTCCGACGGGGACTGAGCGCAGGCTGGAGGGGGCCTGGAGAGTGGGGTGCCTCCCGCGGACCCAGCAGCAGTCCCAGGGCAGGGGCGCGGCTGCGGGGGGTCAGGGGTGCGGCTGTGGGGGGCAGGGGCGCGGCTGCGGGGGGCCATGGGGGGGCAGCGGAGCAGGGGGCAGCTGCGGGGGGACAGGGGGGCAGCAGGGTGGAGGGGCGGCGGACAGCGGGGCGGCGGACTGCGGGGCGGGGGCGCGGCTGTGGGGGGCGGGGAGACGGGTGCGGCTGCGGGAGAGCTGGGGGGCAGCAGGGCAGGGGTGCGGCTGCGGGGGGAGCAGGGCGCGATGGGGCAGGGGCGCGGCTGCGGGGCGCAGGGGGGTGGATGGGGGCAGGGGGGCGGCGGGGAGGGGTGCGGCTGAGGGGGGCAGGGAGACGGGTGCGGCTGCGGGAGGGCTGGGGGCAGCAGGGCAGGGGTGCGGCTGCGGGGGGAGCAGGGCGCGATGGGGCAGGGGCGCGGCTGCGGGGCGCAGGGGGGTGGATGGGGGCAGGGGGGCGGCGGGGAGGGGTGCGGCTGAGGGGGGCAGGGAGACGGGTGCGGCTGCGGGAGGGCTGGGGGGCAGCAGGGCAGGGGTGCGGCTGCGGGGGGAGCAGGGCGCGATGGGGCAGGGGCGCGGCTGCGGGGCGCAGGGGGTGGATGGGGGCAGGGGGGCGGCGGGGCGGGGCGGGGCGGGCCCGGGAGCAGGTCCCGCGGAGAGGGTGTCCGCGGAGAGGGTGGGCGGCCCGGGCGGTGCAGAGAGCGCCCCCGCCGCCCCCGCGCACCCCTGCCCCCCGCGCACCCCTGCCCCCAGCGCACCCCTGCCCCCCGCGGACCCCCCGCACCCCTGCCCCCCGCGGACCCCCGCACCCCTGCCCCCTCGCACCCCTGCCCCCCCCGCGCACCGCTGCCCCCCGCGGACCCCCCGCACCCCTGCCCCCCCGCGCCCCCCCCGCGCCCCCCCTGCCCCCCGCGCACCCCCGCGCGGGGCAGCCGGGCTCCGGCGTTGGACGCGGGTCCGGGTCCCGGGGGCGAGGCCGGGGCGGGGGGCGGGGCGCGGGGCCCGGAGTCCCCGCCCGCCCGTGACGCCGCCGCCAGGAGCCGCCCCCGCCCCGCCCCGCCCCGCCCCGCCCCCGCCCCGCCCCCCGCGGCGCCCCACAACTTTTGAGGCGGGGACTGCGCTCCGGCCTCACTCGCCCGCTCCCCGCGCCCGCGGCCGGCATGTGAGCGGGGCCGGGCGCCACCATGGCCTCGCCGCTGCTGCTGCTGCTGCTGCTCCTGCCGCCCGCGCCCGGGTCCGGGGCCCCCGCGCCCGCCCCCGCCCCCGCCCCCGCCCGCCGCGCGCACCCCGACCCCAGCCGCGCGCACCCCCGGCCCGCCGCCGCCGCCGCCCGCGGGGGACCCCAAGGCCGGAGCGCGGGTGAGTGATCCCGGCCCCGCGGGAGGGGGAGGAGGGGGAGGGGGAGGGGGGCCCCCGCGGGACCCGGGTGGGGGGGCGCCGGACACTGGTTCCCCTGGACGCCTCCGCCGGCGGCGGGACTGAGGGTGTGACCCGCCTGTCCTCGACCGCCCGCCCCCGGCACCCCTGCGCTGGAAACTTGCCCCCCCCCACCCCGAGGTGAACCCGCCCCTCTGCGCCCAGGTCTCCCTTTGAAAGGAAGCAAGGAACCGCCTCCCCCCGCAGACCTCCCGAAGGCGAGCCTCCCCCCTCGGGGGTGCTGACATCTTCCCGCCAGGCCCCCCCATCCGCACCCCCATCCTCCACACCCCCACATCCCCCTATCCGCACCCCCCATCCCACCCCCCATCTGCACCCCCACCCCCACCCCCCCATCCGCACCCCATCCCACCCCCCATCCCACCCCCCATCGGCACCCCATCCCCCCCACCCCCATCCACACCCCCACACCCCCCTATCCGCACCCCCCCATCCGTACCCCCATCCCACCCCCCATCCTCAACCCCACACCCCCCATCCGCACCCCCATCCCACCCCCCATCCTCAACCCCACACCCCCCATCCGCACCCCCATCCCACCCCCCATCCTCAACCCCACACCCCCCATCCGCACCCCATCCCACCCCCCATCCCCTCCTTTTCCTTCGGAGACAGAAAGGGCCTCCCCGGGTGCAGAGCCTAACTTTCACACATACCCAGCTGGTTTCTAAGGGGTCCGGCATCAGGATGTTGGGAAGGACAAAGGACCTAGTTGGGAATGCGGCGCCCCGCTGGCCCCCAGAAGCGGAGGAGAAGCGGGGAGGGCTGGGGGGCGGTTCGCAGGCCGCGGGGGGCGCAGGGCTCCGGCCGGTCTCTGCCCCCCCCATCCCTCTCCTCTCCCCGGGGCTGCTGCTCAGCCACTGCTGGTCCTGCCCCAGAGGGACCTGCCCCCGGGCCTCCCCGGGCCTGGGGACCTCGCTGTGGGGCTGCTTCTGCAGACCTGGGAGGAAGGCAGACCTCCTCCTGCCCCCTGGAGGAGTGTCCCCTCTTTGGATCTCAGTTTCTCCATCTGTGAAATGGAAGGGATGATGCCTGCCTGTCCTAGGCTCCGGGTGATGGCATGACAAAGTGAAAGTAAAAATAAATGAAAAGTGCTTTGAACAGTCAGCAGCGTGGTGGTGGCAGCCGCTGCCTTCCTGTGAGTGACACGAGGCATGTGCTCGCTCGCTCTCGCTCTCTCGCTCTCTCAGGGTTTTCCTGCCAAAGCCCGCTTGCTGGCAACGCTAGGTGCTGATTCAGAGCTCAGGTGAGGGTTGAGAAGACTTCATCCTCTTCGCTGGCACTTCGTGGAAGTGTCTCCTGTCACCCGTGCTCTCCAGGACAGGAACTAGCTTCCTCCGTGGAGCCCAGGGATGCTTGCCCTAATGGAATAAGAAAAAAAGTTTTTAAAAAGTGGTCAAACCCCCAGTAAAAAGTCAGCTGCATGCTCGGGGTACTCTCACCGCTGCAGAAGTCCTGGCGATCACCTAAGCCACAGGCCGCAAGGCGGAGAAACTGAGGAACGGGAAGGGAGGGGAGGGGAGAAAGGCGCTTTCCGACACCTGCCAGAGACACACCTGCCCGCTGTGGCCCTGACTTCAGCTGACCTGCCACATACATTGTTCTAAGGACCACGGCAAGGAGTCCCCGTAAAAGGGCGTGCGTGCCCTGGCTTTCTCAGTAGCGACGCTGCGTAGTACTTTGTTGAGCTTTCTAGATGGGAAGTGAGTGCAGGGGATCGAGGCCATTTCAGAGAAGACCCCCAGGAAAGGAGGCAGGGGTCTGTGCTGACGGTGAGGCATTCCCAGCTGCGGGGCCCCGTCTGCCAGGGGGTGGGTGGGCGGGTGGGGTGCCGACTTGCAGGGACTTGCAGGGCCCTGGGCCGGAGAAGGCTGCCATATGAGTCGTGCGTGAGACGTCGCCTTCCTTCCCACGGCTGAGTGTCCCTGTAGATCACAGAAAGCTGGGCGTTATGGGGAGGGGGACAGTGGAGGGAACTGAGGCAGATCTCAGGCATGAGGCTTGGGAGGAAGGCACGTGGGAGTCCCAAGCGCAGGTGGCAGGAGCCAGGGGAAGTCCGGAACGCTCACCTAAGTGGGTGTCTCCTGGCACCTCCACAAAACCCACCCAAGTCATGCCTGCCCTTCAGCTGATGCAAGGCTGGATCTCACGTGGGATGTCAGAAAGGTGAGATTAAGAGAGGAAACCGATCACCTGTTGAAAACCGCTAGAAGCTACTAAGGTGGCTGAGGATCCAAGCGCAACCTGTGCTTGTTTCGTGGCGGGGGTTCGATGCCACTTGGAGGGGAAAAGGCCATGATGAACAGGAAAACCAGCAGGACGTGATTTCTGTGAGTCTGAGTTTCCTATTAAACTCCCAGGATTTTCTCTGGACCCTTTCTGATAGGCCACCACGTGTCACAAAGGAAAATCTGCTCTCTCCCGAGGCAGCCGATTCTCAGCCCTGAAGGAGCCTCCAGAGGCCCTCTGGGCCGCGGCGCCCCAGGAGGGTAGCGGCCCTCTCAGCCCCCCTGACAGGTGGCCACCCAGGCTCTGCAGTAAGGTTTTTGTGTTTGGGGACGTGCTCGCTCCTGCCCAGAATGAGCCGCAAGCCTTAGAACTAATGTGCTTTATGTGATTGTTGGGGAGAACTGCCTGCAGCCCCTTCTGCTGTAGGCCCACGGGTGCCTGGCATCCAGGGCTTGGGCTTCCGGATACACGGTGTGAAAAGCAGGGACCAGAGATGTCCTTTTCTTCCTTGGGGCCATTTCTAGCCCTTTGCGTCTTGGCAGAGTTCAGGAGTAACCATCCTCCTGTTCCATCTGTGAGTCGTTCTCCTGCTTCGGGCTGCGAGTCCCCCATTGGCGTGTCCACCCATGACCCTGCTGGCTGTTCAGATGAAGGTCGTTGCGGGCGTCCGAGCCTGTGGAGGGAGAGAAGATGCTAAGTCCCAGGGATTTCCTTTTTCTTGGGTGCGTGTGTGCTTGTGGGTGTGGGCATGTGTGTTTGAACAACTCAGGGCTTCTTCTGAGCCACACTTCTGAGTGCTTAAGTTGCTATGCCTTGGTTTTCGTGCTCCTGCCCCCCCCCCCCCCCCCCCGCCCGTGCTTGAATTGTGAGATCTGCAGATGAAAGGGGAAGAAAAAGGCTTAAGTCTTAATGAAAATCAATGCAGAAGGAAAGAACTTTCCCACCCAAAGGGGAAATGACGACGAGTAGCTGAGCAGCCAGCCCAAGGACTAATAATCTTACAAAAATGCAGCTCCCTAGAGCAAAGGAAGCGCTGTGAGCCCAGCCCCTCCTGGGCTGCTACATGGCTGTCGCCTGAAGGGCTGTAACTTCTGGAGGAAGCACCCCATGGGGGCGGGGGGTGGGTGCAGCAAAGACCCAGGCTGGGCAGGAAGCAGCCCCCTCGGGAAGAGTGTGTGGCTGCCTCTCTCCTGGCTGAGGCTGCACTGAGAAGCCTGAGAAGCCTGAGAAGCCCACTTGCTTTGATGGAGGCTGCTCCAAATAGAAGGAAGGGTGTGGGGAAAGGGATTCTCATTGGGTGTGTGGGTCTAAAAGCCACATCCTTTTAACCTTGCAAGAACCCTTTAATTGCGTCCCTTGATGGTGCAAATGCTGAACCGGTGTTTTCTGCCCAAGACCCCAACAGCATGTGGAGATAGAAGAGAGACAAAAGATGTTTGGGGCCCAGCTGGGCAGTGGTTGCAATACCTAGTCCTGGGGGGGGGGCTGGGGAAGGGTCCCCCGTGACTCCCAGCAGCCCTGCCAAGCTGGCTGGAAGCAAGTGTTCTTGGAGTTGACTCGTTGCTGTCTCGGGAATTCTCGCAAAGTGAGCAGAGAACAGATGGGAGGGTGGTTCGTTAGCCACTTAACTGCCTTCTTCCGGGGCTTCCCTCTGCCCACCCCGCTTCTGTATGAGCAGGAAGTCCCAGGGAAGGACATCAGTTTGGACTTCCAGCCTTTGAGCACCCATGTGTCTGGTTGGCGCTTTACCATTTAACTCTCAAAAAAAAAAAAAAAATCCTGCGAGGGATAGCACTGCTCTTTCACAGCTGTAGGAACTGACGCCTGGTGAGCTTGGATCATACTGTACGTGGCGGCGCCAACATTTAGATTGATCGGGACCAGATTCCTGTGTTCTTGCCACAATACGGTGCAGCCCCAGTGTTCTCAGAGGTCCAGTGGGTGACGGTGGTTCTGGATTTCTAAGACCCTAGTGCAGCACTGCTTCCCCTCTTCCTCGTGCCCTTGACACTTGCCCTTTCTTGGGAGGTCAGGGATGAGAGGCAGGGTGAGGATATAGCAGTGGTGATGGGGACAAGCTGCAGAATAGAGGTTCCAAACAACAACAACAACAACAAATTTTTTTTTTTTTTTTTTTGGAAATTGCTCCAGACGAGACCGTTAGTCTGCATGCATGCACAGGGTGGCATTTTATATAGGCATTGCGAATCATGCCCCGTCTGTATGCCAGTGCAGACGTTACTGATGCCAGAGGTAGCTCTGTTGACGATCGCCCGTGCGGAATGAGCCGGGCTCGCTGCTGGGAACAGGGCTGGTGTTAGGAGGTGGGTGTTGGGACTACGCTTTCCATAGGAGCGGAGGTCGAATGGCACCCTGGCCCAGGTGCTGGAAGGTCACTTTCTAACGTCGTGCATGCCCTCCTCGACCCGTCCCTGTTCAGTTTGCTTTGGAAACAAAGATGTTTCTATCCTGGCCTTTCCCTCTTTTGTTGAGCACGGCAGATGTGGCAGTCTGTGTCCGTTGGGCTACTCTGTAAACCAGAGAACACCGACGGAGCCCTTTCTGTGGGTGAGGATCTCGGCCAGGTGATGCGGGTGCTGCAGAGCGAGGTTGTGGTGCCCCCAGCAGACCAGAGGCCCTTTGGAGCACCAGCGCCAACACTGGGACCAGAGCAGTTACGGTTTGCCAGGGAT